CTCAGTGCTTAACCTACAGTACAAACTATTTTCAACAACTGACTCTGGAAAGCTGGTACACTAACCTAGAGCAAACGCCTCTTAACAAACTTTACCTCCTGCGTAGTCATACTTAACTTAACTGTTTTGGTGTATGTTTTTGTTCTCGTTTTTGGCCTTGACCGTGTACAACACACAATAGTTGTCTACTCCGTACTGAGGAACTAACCGATAGAAACGCTTCGGTTACGTAATTCATGCAAAGTGTATGAACGGAAAACAAAAGATTGTGCACGGTCATGGACCTTCCAACATAAATCTTGTTTGCTCCTTTGATGTTTGCCAGGCTTCATAACCATTCCCCTCTATTAACTATCGCATAACATGACTCTCTTGTTTGAATGGATTCACTTGGTTGTACTTCAACTCAAACTAATGTACAATGCACTATCCGCAGACAAAATAAGAGATAATTTCGAGGCGATGAAAATGGGAAAACGAACCCCCAGTGATAAGTTGAAAAGTCAAATGACATCAGGAGATGAAGGAATAGATTTTATATGTTTATGGAGATTTTATTGGACCCTTAAGCCACAGAAGAGGCTCTATATCAGCAGAAGTGAAATAAGGTTATAATGTACAGAAGTGCATGGCGTTATGTTGTTGGAATGAAGGAAAAATGAAGTGAACATGTATATCTACTCAAGGTGGAAAACCGAAATTCTTACCCATATATGCCAGGTTTTATCATTTGCTGGTGGTGATTGATGCGCACAGTGTTGGTGTACAAGTCGCAATTTCTGACGATTTCTGACTTCACAATATACTTTTGGTATATTAGAATGAATATGACTAAAAATAATTATAAAGTTGAGTTGTCCTTCATCTCAAAATCCCCGCAAAATTCGTTTGGCTCGCTGTGAACGCTTGGGGTGCCATAGTTTCATTGGCTGGCGGCATTTTCTGTTGACATACATCCGAGTAAAGCGTAACATGTTTACAACTCTTCAAACGTCGAAAACTCGCATAGCTTTTCGCAAGAAATGAATTGATAGGGTATGATCGTCATATTTTCATAAAATTTGACCAGGACATTCCCTAAGCATTGAGGAGCAAAAGCATGTCGGGGAGTTTTTTTTT